GGAGGAGATGCGCACAAGACCGACGCGATTGTAAATCTTTTTTAAACTCGGCTTATGGAACAACCGTTCTGTAACAAGACAGCTAAGTAAGTTATATAAAAAGAATAATAAAACCTGTGTGGAATTCCGAAGACCTCCGCAAACCACTTGTTGTATAATATAATGCGAACAATGCATCCTTCAAGAACCTCGAAATATTCTTTCAAACATAGATTCATTCCGATCTATTATTAACCTAAATATTTATTCCAAAACCTAGAAAATGAGAACTAATATTGCAAATTTTATCGGTCCACTTTATCTGGAAAAAACTATAAATTTTATAATTTCTCCCGAGTATACCCTACTTTACAATTTATTATATGTAGATCAATGTTTTGTCATATTATGATGCCGGTTCAATTTAAACAAACATATCAGCAATATACAAAATACGAACAAGCTGAAAGAGGGCACATTATGACCTTTAAAGAAGCTGACACTGCCGCAGACAGCTTATCTTTTTGTACCTATGCTTCGGCTCTGACAAGGAAAGCTTGTGTAGTACGATATATTACTCAAGTGCAAAATGTTTGCAACGATCTCCAGAAGAGAATCAGATTGGTTCAGTTACTCGACAAATGATCAACAAATTTAGTCATGAATTCAACAAGGACTATAGGCATCCATTTTGCGAATATTTTAAAAAGAATATGGGATCTATTAGAAGTACTATCACAACATCACCTTTTTGATAATGCATGCAAAAAGACAGAACCCTAATGAAGCATGTCAAGTGTATATATAAGTGACTTGGTACCAAAAATTCAAATCACCATTTACCAGTATGGAATGGATTGTCTTTGAAGTTATCAATTAGCGTTGAATTTGGCTTAAGTCACGGTCGTTTTCATCTTTTTACCATTAGAAGTTCTAGTAGGACCCTTGTATTTTTCCATGCTTTTAATATTCATTAGAACAATTTGAAGCGGTTGAATTTCTTTATGGCATCTGTTCATACCAGAAAAAATTAAATTTTTCATGAAAATTACTTTTTTCGGTTCAAGTTTAAAAATATCTTTTTGTTTTACGGATGTAATTTAATCACTATTAATAAAGCATTAAAATAATTAGTATGAACTAAAAATCAAATAATATGCGCGATTGCACCACATAATCACAAATTTAAGAAAAAAAAAATAAATATTTCCTCAGTAAACACAAGTGCAGGTAATGTGGTATACCTTGAGTCTGCATGAATAAAGCCAGCACTAGACAAAATCTCATTACTATTTGAAACATTTGTACTCTACGAGAGTCTACCACGAACCACAAGGATGGAAAACAAAGGCTATGAGTTTTAACGACTTCTCCATACAAAAATTAAATATTGCCATGTGTAGACATTATTACATATTAAAAATTAAAGTTCCACTCAACCTATCAGTTCAAAATCTTAAATCTTCAAAATCTTCGCATTCATTAAAAACAATAAATTATATAAGATATCAATTGGAAGTGAAATTTATACTATACCACATTAACAGCATGTGGTATACCACATTACCTTCCCATTTTTTTAAAATCACTTTTAATGAAATTTCAAATATTTTCTCAAATATCTCTTAAATTGTTACAATAATTTTATTTTCAAATTGATACATGGAAAGACAACACATGTAGCATGTTATGTGCAAAATTTCAATTTAATCGGATAAAAAATAAAAATTTGGCAATCTAAAAACAAATGGGTATACCACATTTGCATCACTTCCTATACATATCTGCAATCAACTGCTGAAGGACAGGAGTTTTCGCGGAAGTTTTGTGGCAAATATCTCAGGAAGTATGGATTTTTGTCAGACTGGGCTCTACATTTGTCTTGTTACGCTACAATACAATAGCTTTATCATCTGTGAATATAGCCAAAACAACATCGTATAAATAGGGAAGTATTTTCAGTTTCATATTTTTGCAATTATTTTTATATACAGTATTCTCGGTTAATTGCACATCAAAATTTGCACAATTTTTTTTTCAATTAACCGAGAAACCAATTATCCGATACCCGCTTAATTGAACTGTATGTTCAATTACTGAAATCACGTATATCTAAATCTGAACCAAATTGAGCACACACTATCCTAGTCATAAATCAATATGCTATGCCAAATTTCGTAAAAAATTATAGGGAATTCTGTGCATCATTTCCATAAAATCGGACGAAAATATATATGGGAGCTATATGTAATTTGAACCGATTTTTCTCAATTTCAATAGGGTTCGTCCTTGGGCCGGATTATAAATGGGACAAGTACTTTGTTTACAATTCAACATCAACAGACTTTCGTCCATCTGGACATGCATAAATCGACTCAGATAGTGATTCTATGCATATTCTCAAAGGGAACCATGGGTCTATAAAAATGTCAGATTATTTTTCAATAATAATGCAATTAACCGGTGAAAAATAAGAGGAAATTTATTTTTGATGACATGAATTTTGAACCAATTAAACGGGAAAATCAATTAGCAGGGATTCATTATCCGAGGAAATTTGCATGTGTTTTCGTATGCAATATTTTGTTGACCCATCATGTGGTTCAATTAAGCGAGGAAACCAATTAACCGTAGGGTCAATTAACCGAAATATACTGTACCATATTTTGTCTAGGTGTATGCATGATAATCCCAACATGAAAATTAACTATTTTCCACTATCGGCTTAACCTAATGTTGTTAGAGGATTCAGTAAAGATATATAATTGTTTATACATATATACGGATACTTACCAACACGCTGTAGCTCAATTTGCCAGCACTTCCATATCTATACCAATATCGGCAATCTAAAAGGTGCTCAGCTTATAATTGGATGGTTATTTTCCTTTCCAGAATCTTTGAAACTTTCCGTTTTGTTTTTATATATATTTTAATATAAACAAATTGCAATAGAACACACTTCTGTCGAGAACTTCTCGAACCAACGTCTTCTGATGTTTCAAAATAACTTATTGCACTAACTAACTCCACTTTACTCTTGGGAGAATAACAACGTTTTGGGAATAATATCGCAATCAATAGACTACCCGGCAAAAATCAATTAAATGAATTAAATAATTGTTTTCTTTTTTCAATCTATTGTTGTCGCTTCACTTGATTAAAGTAGAAGTTCAATTGAATTATTCATCAAAGGAAAGGGGGTGAACTAGTAGCGGTGTGTCTTTCGTTTACTTGGTTCAATTTGTTTCAATATTGAACGTTAAAGTTAAAAGCTGTTGAAATCAAGTACACACGACCGAACATGAACGACCTGTTGAATTTTTTCCCCTGGGAATAAAAGTACAAAAAGAATTAATCAGTAAGGGAATTATAACCTGTCGTTCGGGCATACGTAGCATCTTTGGTGGATCCTTGATATGAAACCGAACGAAATGAAATATGTGAAATTATATATATGGCATGAGTCATCCGAACATCCTTGCAAAACGTCATATCTGGCAAACTTTGGTGTGCAATTTATATGAAATCGTAAAAAATAGTATGTAAATGTATACAGATTTATTGAAATCTGCACGTACATGACCGCTAAATCAAAATATGCATAGATTAGGACAAAACTTAATATATGTCATTCCAACCCAATTCGATGCCCTTAGCATATGGTTTGCGCAGGTCTACGGAATAGCTATCTAGTGTCAGAGGGAGCATTTTTATTAAATTAATAATTTGTCAATATTGCGACAGTTTGTGGGTGGAGGTTCCATAGATGATGGACCAATGTAGCCGATAACTGCTCTAAATCTATATTTAGTATACAAATTAAGGTCTGGCATAATACCACACATGATATACTATTCTCTTGATATAAGGAATATATTTGTTTTTATCAAAAAGTTGACCATCTGTGTGGCGGTACCAGAGAAAGACCCCATCTTCGGATTTTATGTGGGTATGGTAAAATATTCAGATGATAACATTAGAGTAGAGTTTCCTACATCTTACCTCCGGCCGGTCTGTCTATATATACAGACGAGTCGAAGATGGAGGAAGGCACTATTGCAGGTGTTTACAGCAAGGAATTGGCCATATACATATAACACATATAAACTTTACGCAATCACTAAAGATACGCAGATAGTCAAAACACTTAGTGCTGATAATATAGGACCGGTGACTATATATATCTGTAATCAGGCGACCCTTAAGTTGTGTACTATAAACTCAAAAGCGGGTCTTTATTGCAAAGGTGCTCTGTTGGGTTTCTGGACATAGCAAAAGAGAAGGGAATGAGTTAGACGATGAGATTGCCTGGGGGTGTTCGCAGTCGTCCAATCTACCGATTGAGAGATGTGTACCTACTATTGGATATTTCAGTGGCAAAATTCGAATGAGATGCAGGATATCGAAAACTATCACAGACACATGTTTCATTATTTTAAATGCTTCATTATTTTATTAAGTTGGGCAAAGTTTGGCTCCACATGTTTCATTATTTTATTAGGTTTGGCAAAGTTTGTCTCCAATCGGATCGTCCATTTGCATAATTTCTTTTATTTTGGGTAGTATAAAAAAGAGTGGACCTATATTCGCAATAATCCTAGTTCATACGAGAGCCAGACATGTACTCTTTCTAACACCGTTGGATTTTCGGATTCCGATGTTCCAGTGAGGAGTTATCATACCCGCCATCAAAAATAAGGACTTTTCTTTAATCACCAAAAACAACACTTTTTTGTAAATTATGTTTTTTTCTCTATTAAATCTTCAAATATTTATGTGCAAAGCAAGCAATAACAAGCATTGGTATTGATGTACCAGTCCATTGAAAATTTTGAAAAATTAAAATCGAGAATGGGGGGTTTCCCTCAATTCTGTTTCGAAATATATATTTATTATTAATAACTAACATAATTATTTAGTAAAAAACCATCCACCCTTTCGATATTATATAAAAATAATATTTTAAGACCATTTATGAACACAATAATTAAATCGGCAATCTCCATTTTATTTTCTCCTCACAACTTGGCTTTCATAAGTCGATTCAAATGACCAGCAGAATTGACGTTCACCGGTTCCAAATTTATATCGCATTTGCGAGCCTCCGCCATTAAACGTTCATAGACACGTCCGTCATAACAACCCAAAGTAGATGCCAAATCACGATCATGATAATCAAAACCATCAACAACAGCCACAGCATTGCGGCGGAAAGCCACTAGATATTGTTCATAACGTGCCTCCACTTCGTGTATCTGCTTCCCTTTAATCGATGGAACAAAACAGAGGATCTCATCAACACTGGATAGGAATAAATCCATAATGAATATATTCAATAGCTGATCCATAATTTCGTGCAGAGATTTTGGGATAATTCCTGTTTTCATTTGTCCTCTCACAGTGTCCAATGCCATGCGTCCGAGGAAAGCACGACCATGCATTGTAGCCGATTTGGTCAATTGTATGCCAGCATGATTTGCCTGTTTGGAATGGTTTTTATTGCGTTGCATAGTGAAATATGTGTTTCGCACCCGCTCCATAGAAGTGATTTCCAGCACGGTTACCAATGTTTCTAATTTCATGGACCATTTAAATTGTGGACTCATACGCAAGTAGGTTACAGTCTTGGGTAATATAAATCGCTTCAGACCATCAATGTAATTTTTCATTAGAAATCTTGCAGTCTGCAATAGAAGTACCGTGTTCTCCCCCTCATACGTACAGGCGGCAGTGGCAGCTGTATAGAGGTTACCAAAATTAGCCGATGCCATATAACCATGACCTCCACATGCTTTACGTGCTATTTCAACACCTTTGGCAGCTTCTTCGGAACAAATGGCTTTTAAACAACACGACAATGCATGTAATTCGGGTAGATTACGCTTGTTGCCTTGATCAAGTTCTTTGTTAACAATGCGATAGAAATCCCAAACACGATCGGCGGCTAGTCGATAAAATGTACCTTTGGCAATCTGGGGAAAGATTTTATGTTGTTGTGTAAGGAAATCGAGAATTTGAATTTCTTCTTTGCCGGGAGATTCGACACCTTGTCGCCGTACTGCGGAATATCTGAAATGTGTACGAGTTAGAAATGTTTATTAATCTATTGAACATGGGATGAAACAACATCTTTGATTGCCGAAAATGATTGATTCAGATCAAGACGGACAGCACAATTAGCATAAAATAATTCTTTCAGTTCAAGCTGAACCTCAAATTTATTCGGAAGTTCTCATGGAACTATCCGAATGATATTGCAACAGAATGATTTTGAAATTATGCCGGGGAACTCTGATCAATCAAAAGGGGGTTTCCGAATGATAAGAAATGCTCGACAGCATTAACCACTATGAAACCTTCGGTTTAGCCAAGTCACCTTATACACGGAGGATTTGGCATGACAATATAATGGTCCCGACCGATTTCAAAAATTTTGCTGAAAGTTTAGATAGGGGAGCAAAGTGACGATATTATGCAGTTAATATTTTATTACAATTAATTATGAAAAACACCCTGCAATCAACTGCAAAATAAGCATTCGTGCCGAAGCTTCTTTCATAGCCATACATTTAAATTTTCCTTTACAATTGTACCTTCAATCACATCTAAGAAAAATCCTATCTTACCTTGTTGCAATGGTGGCTGCCTGTAGAAGATTCACTGAAACATCACGAACAATCATCACCCGAACATAAACCATTGTTCCATACAGCAGTAAAGGTTCAGGACCCTTAACAAATGTACCATCGGGTAAAACTCGATTATTGCGACATAACATTTGATTCAGGGGAATTCGAACATTTTTCAAACCCAAAAATCCGTTATTGACACCATTCGCGCCAATACGTGGACCAATATCACCAACATCTACACCCGGTTCCGGTTCGTTAGTCTTTTCATTACGTATACGCACCAAAAATGGTTGAAACCCGTATGAACGACCTTTAATGTAAAGTTGGGCCATTAATACCACTGTGTTTACGGTATGACCCAAACCTCCTGGCCACCATTTGTACGCTGTGAGGCTGGGTGTATTGAGGATGAATTCTTGTTTTTCGATGTCATAATCTGCCCGGGTCTCAAGACCCTTCAAATATGTACCATGACCAAGTTCCGTCTGAGCATATGTGCCAATAATACCATCCATATTCCATGCCTTATCCAACCAAAGTTTACATTGCTCATCGCTGGCCTGCCTCAATAGAGTTGGTAGGAACATAGAGAAGTGTAGACGTAAGGGGAAATTTGCCGGAAATAATCCAGAACCCAATGGGCCGGCCATTAATGCTCGCAATTCATATAACTCCTCTATGGCTGTTCGAGCGGCATCATTACCCGCCTCTGTTTGTTGTTTCTTTAGGAATTCTCTCAGTTTGAGTAAGAAACGTACAGCTTTTTCTGTGGTGTACTCATAAAGCTCCTTATGCGACATATTGCTAATGTGTTTGTGGTCCACAAATTGTGGATCTTCATAAAATAGTTTGGCCATAGCCCGTCGCTTACAGAGTTCATTGTAACCACCGGCCCACCAAATGGCAAAATCTTCACTTCTAATTGTTGCATTTTTACGTTCTTTTTCCAGATCGGGATTTACGGCAGTAGATGGATTAGCCATAGTTGGATTAATTCGTAATAATTATGCTGTGGTTGGTAAAGTTGTTGATGTATGTTTGCACATAAAGAATGCAAACAAAATATTCCGCTTTGCTTTGTTATCGGTTTCACTTTCAGCGTCCAACTGAATGATTGCACTTTTTACTCCAGCCAACTGCTCTGCGACGTCTTTGTGTGTCTGTTGGTAAAAATAACAACTTGTTTGGGTTTCTTGTTTATTTGTTTTTTTTTTTTTGCTATGGCCTGTTATCAGAGGATGATAAGAGCTAATATTTTGTGTTTTGATTCGATGTCGGTTAACTCAAGGTGCAACAGAGTCCAAATATGCAAAATCCTATCAGATGAACCTCTTTACCTATAGAGAAGTAAAGAGGTTCTATAGGAAAAGTCAGATTAACGTTTCTTTACAGGAAAAGTCAACACCGAATCAAAACCAACCCGTTAAGTGTTGGCCAAAGCATGGAGATATATTAAATGTTCAGTGAAGAAGATTTTTACCCATCAATGATCTGTAATTTATATTACAATCACTTCGGCCGAAACATATTCATGGTCATATGTCATATTTTTCAACCGAAGTGACCAGTTAACATGGAGAGAAGATGATCTCTTTTTAAAAAGCTTTGCGACGATTTTTTAACCCACTAATAAACCAGAATACAGAATTGCTGCCACTTGGCTTGGAAAAAATCTATCGATGTTTGAATTCCTCGGAATCACATGTTATGTCGTAATAATCAAGTTTTACCCGATGGTAAAATCGGATGAACTTTTATATAGTCGTGCCAAATGCTCTTTATATCAGATGACCTGGTCAAACCGATGGTTCCGACAATCAACTGCATGGGCCTGTAAGACGCCCATCAGATTCGTATAGACTGAAAACCAATGTTCTTCACTGATACACCCATTGGGATCGGGTCTTCAGGAGCCCTGAGTGAGCAGCAGTGTCGATATGCTTCGGTTTCCGTCTCTAGGGTCATTAATTTGAAACATAAAGTTTGTCTTTCGTCACTTCCTTGCCGCTATTTGATGGGGTATTCGTTGGCATAACTGACACATACGACGTGCGTGGATCTCTTAGTGGCTGGTTGATTGCTGTTCATCAGAAGACCCCATCCTCTTCACGACCACTGACTGGAGATTTGATCTCCAAATTTACAGCCGAATCAAAAGTCGATGGGGTTGTAGCGACTACTTCTAGTTTTGCGTTCGAGACATTGGATGGTTGTTGGGGCTTGTCCAACAGCTGCCGTACTGTCATAACTCGTTTTGTGTTTTTAAGTAGCGCAATAGCTGGCGGGTCTGGCTGCAGAGACAGACATTGGGCGAGAAAGACTCGGATGGTTTGGGATCGTAGACCCCTCTTTTGTGGAAATGTGCATTTCTGGTGGCTGCCTTAGAAACGCCTTTGTCGTCTTTCGCAGTGGTTGATGGTGTCAAGGATTTCTTGTCATTCAGGAACCCCCTCGTTCTCGGGCTACTCATAGCTGTATCCTCCGTTGGAGGATTAAATGGTAACACGCGACTTCGGAATTCTTTCGATCAAAATCATTCTGTTGCAATATTATTAGGATAGGTCCATGAGAACTTCTACATAAATTTGATGTACCTTTTGATATGAAAGAATTCTTTCTCCGTAATCGTGCTTCCGCTCAGGACACTCTCTTGGCTGAAACGAAAGGATCTGGTTTACTCAATTAGATCGAGAAGATTCGCGTGTCTCTCTTGGCTCGCGTTTATGTCATCGAGTGTACTAGAGTTGGGAGAGTTTAAAGAAAAGTCCATTAAATCGTTGAGGAGCTTAAATTTATTGCCGAAGTTGCACTTGTAGAGGTCGAGACTGAAGTTGCCAAGGCAGCCACACCAACATCAGTCGAATTATATTCGTTATTATTTTTGGTTTTAGAAGAGTCCATTGGAATTCTGTGTGTCAGGATTTGAGATCGACCATGGGACAGCCTAATACCTTGGAAAGGACTTGAAACTAAGCCTGAATAACTTATTGAGCCGATCAAGGCTCCGTTCGAATGCCAAACGTGAAGGTATGAGGTGACCTAATACCTTGAAATTGAAAATAAATTTGATCGATTTTTTAGTCAATTTTTAAATAGCCGGACAATTTCTTCGAAGAGTTACATGCGGAATTACAACTTCAGTGTACCAATTGGCACCACCGAAGGTTTTAATAGTTCTTCTTTCCGAAAGCAGTTTCCTTATTTCATGTTCAGTAAATTAATAAATATTTCTAACTCGTATGTATTTCAGAGACATCGCAATACGGCGACAAAGTGTCGAAGCTTTCGGCAAGGAAGAAATTCAAGTTTTAGATTTTCTAACACAACAACATACAATTTTTCCTCTAATTGCCAAAGGTATATTTCATTGCCTAGTAGCGGATCGTGTTTGGGATTTTTATCGTATTCTTAACAAAGAACTTGATCAAGACAATAAACGGAATCTAGCCGAATTACATGCATTGTCGTGTTGTTTAAAAGCCAGTTGTTCCGAAGAAGATGCAAAGGGAGTTGAAATCGCACGTAAAGCGTGTGGAGTCATTGTTATATTGCTTCAGCGAATTTTGATAACCTCTATACAGCTACCACTGCCGCATGTACATATGAAGGGAAGAACAGCAAATTTGTCCAAGAACCTTCCAGAAAATTTGTTAAAGAAATGCGCGCATATAGAAGTGAATGTTCTTCGGAAAATTGATCAAAATTTGTTAAAAACACGCTTAGAACCGTGATAGTCCTTTGTAATTTTTTTATAAAAAATCCAATAGCTGTGAAAGTCCTTCGGAAAATTTTTTATAATGTTATGATAGTCCTTCGAAATAATTTTATAAAAAATCCACGATTATAGCTGTGATAGGCTTTCGAAAATTTGTTAAAAAAACACGCTGTGATAGTCTTTTTTTAATCCATGCCTATAGATGTGATAATTCAAACAATTTACGCTTATATCTGTAATAGTCCTTCGAAAAAATAAGTAAAAACTCCTCGCTTATAGCTGCGATAGTCCTTCGCACAATAGGCGTGATTTTTGCCTATAGCTGTGACAGTCCTAGAAATTTGCTTAAAAAAAACACGCCATAGATTGGAAAGTCCTTCGGAAAATTTGTTTAAAAAGTCCACGCTTATAGCATTGATAGCTTTTCGGCAAATTTGTTTAAAAAATCCGCTTAGGAAATGAGTCAAACAGATTTTTTTAAAGGCTTGTGCTTGCTCTTAAAAAATTTCCCATGGACATTATTCTTTGGAACCATAAGTTCTCCTAAAACCGCACATACCCCCTTAAAATAAAAATAAACTCATTTAATCTTAATTTCTTTTTGACTTTTTTATTGAATTCTTTTGGGTTTCTTAAATTAAAAAAAATTGTCATTATTGATTAAATATTAATTGATTAAATTGTTATTGTTTTTGTTGCTTTCATATTGGATTTAGTGGCTTAAATATTATATTTAGCAGCTATAGCTAAAATGCAATGCTGAATGGTAAAAAACAGAAAATAAAAATAATTTGTGATCTTTTTTTAGAAAAAAAACATACCGACTTGGGAATCCGACATGGGAGTTTGGGTTTTTTGTATTGTTTATTAATGAGGTCCTAGAGAGCGAGCATTGTCTTTTTTATTATTTTTTTGGTTTTACGTAGAACAAGAAGCAGAATATACCTGTCCTATGGTGTCTGTGTGTGGTTCTATATAATCAAAATGGTCGCAGGTGCGTGCGGATGGGGGTACGACGACGGGTTAGAAAACAAATTGTTCAATTATTGGTATTATCCACATGTCCGGAACTTGCGGCACCAACCAAGATAAGTACTTAGTGATGGTGTTGTGAAAAATTAAGTGCGGCAGAACAATTTTTGTTTTGATCCAGTTGAAGGGCAGAAGAAGAACAACAAAGCAGATAGAATGAACCGCCGCGGCCGCTTGCAGACTGGTCGTTACTGAACAACAATCCTTGTGAGCGTAGTATTGCCAGACAATAGTTTGCAAACAGCTTTGTCTACACAACAATAAAATAAATAATTACCAAAATTCCATGACAAATCCTCCCACGTTGTCCTAATGATTAGCGAATGTGAAGAAGTGCAAAAATCCTAATGTGTTATGTTTTGTAATTTTTTGGCTTTTGGCTGTGAATAAAATTCCAATGCACCACCACTGAAATAAATGGTGTTATTTTTTGGAATTTCACTAAAAGTCAAATCCATGAAATGTTACAAATGAATCCTTGAATCCTGTAATGTTAAGAAGAATTTCTCCTCGAAGTGTATTCCTTCCATTATCCTTCTCCTTTTACACAATCCAATCCTTTTGTGTCCCGTCCTTCCATATCCTCCTTAATCCTTAAAAATCCATATTCCTTATTACCAAAAATCCTGTTTTTTCCTTTCCATTTTTAAACCCTTGTCCTCCTCCTCCTTTTTTTCATATACTCCTTCCTCCCTCCAATCCAAATCCATTCCGTTTTTGAAGTGGAAAGAGAAGAAAAATTAAGAAAGAAATGTATTAATAAAAATTGTATAAAAAAATGTGTTTTTTTACAAAACAAGGTTTGTTTATGGTTAAGGGGGAAATAACATGTCTAAAACTGTAATACAAAAGGTGGGGAAGAGTATTAGGTGGATGGAATTACAAAGTACGGGGGGAATTACATTTAAAACAAGTAACACCAAGCATAGCAAGAATACGTTGATAAATAATTGAATATATATAATTAGATTCTGGCAGATTCCTATAAAATGCTGTAGGTTTTGTATTATTTAAAATAATGTGGTCTCTGTAAGGATTGTCAATTTCCAAAAGAAATCTAAAATCTTAATGTATTCGTGACAATAAAGAATTTATTATTTAACTTGTAATTGAACAGGTTTCCAAAAGGTTCAGCGGCTTTAAGCATTTTCCTTATAATGAATGCAACTACTTTAGACGTTTTCTCCAATCGGAAATGTGTGGTGACAATTAAAATATTCAAGCCAATCGATTATCCATCTGCCCAAGTGACTAGTTATTATTGATTTTGTAGACGAATTATTAAATTTCATTTTATATGTATTTGGATCATATTACTATATATCAATATAATTACGTGGGATGTTTGCTAGTAGTAGAGGGACGTTTCTAAAATCAACAAATAAAAATGTAGTTAGTTAAAAGGATAAAAATCAAGGAATGTAATATATAACTATAAACTTTAATCCAAAAACACGTAATTTCATTCTTCATATTTTACACTATGAATGTGTTTATGTATGTCTCTCTCTCACTGCATTTTGTGTGTTGTTGTGAGCCTTGATTTTTCTCCTTTAACTTCAAATTGAATACAAATAATGTTTCCTTCTTATGTGTTGTACTTATTACCAAAGAAAAAATTAAGAGACCAAAAATATAAAACAAAAAAATAAAATACATTTACATAAAAAAGGAAACCGTGGTGTTTTGTGTGGGTGTGAATGTGAATGTGCATACTTAATGATTCTTTCACTTTGGAATTGAGAATTTCTTTTTATCGAAAAAAAACACTGCATTGCTTGTTTTAATCTTAAACTTTTTTGTTGTTCTTTTTTAGTTTTGCCATGAGAAAACGTCGTCTTGAAAACTTTTCGCTTTGAAAGTTTCTAATTCATATAGTGTTTTTCCTCTTTTTTTCATTTTTTGTTTGATTCTCTCAAAATACTTCACTTGCTAGGAAATCGACTTGTTTTTTCTTGGTTTTGGGGGGTTTCTGAATATATCTTAATGTGTTTGTTTTTTGAGTTTCGTTTTCTTAGCAGTTTGTTTTTGGAATAGTCATTAGAGATTAAAAGTTTGAACGAGATCGTGACCTTGAGAATGTTTGCCGTCTCACTGGTGAATAGGTGGGTGTACCTCGTCTTCTTGGGCGAGGTGAGAATGAGCGAGACCTAAAACGAAGAGGAAAAGATAATCATATTTGTATTTTAAACCAATTAAATGTTTTTGTTAAATAGCTTACCTGCCACGTCCAAAATCGCCACCACCACCGCGGCCACCGCCACGGTCATTATCGCCAGTGTCTTCACGTACCCGTATATAGGATACCTCACCCTAGAAAAAAAAACATATAAAATTTAGAATTGTGAATAAAACTGATTTATTTTTCAGTGGCAAGGCGAACATTTCTCCTTTTTTCCGGAAGGCCTTCAGATTTTGCGTTACAATCCCTTAAACTCTTCTTTAAGTGGCAGAGAACCCTCTTGAATGTGATCTGTATAAGGAATCTGGTCTTCTATGAATGACATGGCTTTCTACCTTGTATAAAGAAAAAGCCTTCCATTATATGAAGAACAAGACCTTCTGCTTGAAGAAGTACAAGACTTTCTAGTCTATGTGAAGAATAATACCTTCCGATCTTCTATGAAGGACTAAACCTCCTTTTATAAATCACAAGACTTTCAGGTTTTTTATTAAGGGCCAAAATTTCTGGTCCTCTCTGATGGAAAGAATTTCTATGAATGGCAAAACTTTCTGATCCTCTACGAAGAACACGCAAGATTTGTTGATATTCTATGAAAGGAAAGATCTCCTGATCGCCTATGAGAGACAAAACATTCTGATATTCTAAGAAGTAAATCTTAATAAAAGTAAATCTAAGCCAGACTAGATGGCTTAAGTCTAGATTAGGGCCCCCTCACGGATCGTTTTGAAATGTTTACCACATGTAGTCTTTGGGGCTCTGATTACAGCAGTATACTTTTTTCTTGTGGAAATCGGTATTTACGGAGATATGGGCCTCCAAAGTTCGGTTGGGACACTTGTATTTTCTCATATTTTTTTAAAAATCACTAAGGCTGTTATAATACTGTTATAATCAAGGCCTCAAGGACTTCATGTGGTAAAAATTTCAAAACCATCCGGGAGGGGGTCCTATAAAGGACAACATGAAAGCAATCAAAATTCTTGATCATCTGAAAGAAAATACCTCCTGGTGGTATAAGAAGGACAACACTTTCTATTGAGGGTAGGCTATCTGGGCTACTATGTGGTACAATACAATCTGTCCTTTAAGAAGGACTATACCTTCGGATCTCCTATTAAAGAAATGACCCTCTCATGAAGGAAAAAACCTTCTCATCATCTATAAGCAATAAGAACGGAAGACCTTCAACGAAAGGAAATCACGGTGCTCTTCTTCGAAAATACGACCTTCAAGTCTTCTATGAAAGGTAAACATGCAGCTCTTCTATGAAGAAGATTCTCAGTTTTGCTATTAAAATATGGCATCCACCTCTGAAAACAAAACACGAACTATTCTATAAAAAGAAGACCTTCAGCTCTTCACCACAAACAAGACCTCCGTTCGGGTCTTCTATGAAAAGAAGACCTTCAGCACTTGCATGAAGAGCAGACCTTCGGCTTTTGTATGAAAATACCTCCAGCTCTTCAATAAAAATAAGACATCCAGCTTCTTTATGAGAACAAGGCCTTCAGTTCTTCTACAAAAATAACACATCCAGCTCCTCCATTAAAAGAAGACCTCCAGCTCTTCTATGAATATCTCTTTTTCTATTAAGACATCCTCCAGCATTCTTCAAAAGAAGACCTCTAAGACTATATCTAGGTCTTCTATGAAAGGTAAAACTACAGCTCTTCTATAACAAGATCTTCAGCACTTTTATAAAAATATGACCTTCAGCTCTTCTATGAAGGTCTCCTGCTATCTTCTATGAAGACGACCTCAAGCATTCTTCAAAAGAAGACCTCTTTTTCTGCTCGATGAAGAATACCTCTGGCTCCTTCTATGAAGAAAACTTCCTAATCGATTTTGTGAAAAACATATTTCAAGGAATGAATATTTTTGCCCTGGCTCTTATATTAAGAACTTATCAATGAAGAACTTCCTGAATGAAGAAAACATTTTGTTCTGCTTCTGTGTGAGGAACACCTCGTGTGTAGGGTATGCTCCACACATATTTTAAGGAATTTTCTGTGCGTGGGGTTTTATGTGTGGGAAAAATAGGCTATGCATATTTTTGCCCTTCTTGAGAAAAATCCACTGTTCTACGAGCAACGAAGTCGTCATTTAGACCCAAACATCGAATTGTCCACTTCAAGAATTTCGGGTTTGTATACAAAAAATTGGTATGGCTATAATTTACGACAGTCTTATGTAATCCATGAACAGACTTCACTGTCCTATGAGCAACCAAGTCGACATTTTAATTCAATTTCAAGCTGTAGAGCACATTTGAAATTAGAGGGACAGAAACAGATTCATGGAATTAGTGTTATGAGGACCAAGCCTACTTTTGATTTGCCAACATAGTGACACCTCCCTCCATAAATATTAGGCATTGATTGATTGCAATAGGCCTTGAAAACAATAAAAAAAATGCATTTCAAAATCTCCTTCAACTAACTTTCCAAGTGATTTCTTTATGACGCAGTTTTGCAAAGAAAGAGATGAGAACAATGACACCCCTTGCAATATGATATCATTTGAAGTCATTAATATTCTTCTAACATACAAATCTGGTTAATCACCTAATATATTATTTTCCAAATACAATTTCTACTACTACTACAACGCATATTACTTACTTCATGTGATCTAAATCTTGAATCATCCAATTTCTTAATGGCATATTTCATATCTTCCAAACGTAAAAATTCAACAACACCAGTACCATCTTTATAGGCATCGGCAAAACAGACATCGCCAGCTTCGCGCATGTGATCTTTCAAATCTTGCCAAGAACCAGAAGCGGGCAGGCCTGTAACTTGAACACGATATTGTGAACGTTTAGTTGGTGGTCCGCGTCCACTGCGACCGCCACCATCACGACCACGTCCACCACCGCCGCCTTCATTGCGGCTGCCACGATAACTACCGGGACCACCACCTCTGGGGAATTCAACTCTCAGCCTATAGCCATCGTAATCATAGCCGTCTCTGGCCTTAACAGCGTCATCGGCATCACTGAAAGCAAAAAACAAAACAAAGAATTATGCACAACTAATCATCAATTCAATGAAAATAACATTAACTGATAAGGCCGCCTTTGCATAGCTGAGACCATTCATGGGCAGAGGCCAAGCGTCGTAGCAGTAAATAAAATAATGGCAATGGTTGTCTTTATATTCTATGCAGCAGCTATAAACAAATTATCTTACCGTGCATCCTCAAATTCTACAAATGCAAATGGCGGACCACGCCGGTTCTTAAGATCGACAAACGTAACCTTGCCAAATTTATGAAACAAATCCTGGATATCTTTGGTGCGAATATCTGGTGGCAAATTTCCAACATAAATGCGTGACTCGTTGCGTGATGCCATTGTTTTTGTTGTCTTTTATTTACACTTCTTTTTCTCAATAAATTTAATGGAATAAATAATGGCTTTCACTTGGTTTTTGCGTCTTTTCGTATCGCGTTATGGCCCTTTTTTGCACAGCAGCAACGATGCCTTTGTGTGTTTGCCAGATGTCTGTGTATGTACACAGATGGGTTACCAGTTACCAGGCAACCTAATTGATGGTAATCGTTATTGCAAGTCGCAGTACGACCGCATACAATTGCGTTTCATTTTGAGAAGCCGTTAAAATAAATCACCGTTTAGATAGTGCCATCATATAATGAACTAAAGTAGTAGGTGAGCAACTTCTTAAAAAAAATATATTTTAAAATTAATTTGTTTAAAAAAATTATTTTACAACGTCCGTAGGGAATAAATTTACGATTAATGACTCTATAATCTTAGAATATGTATTAGGGGCAATACAGCAACGTTCGTAAATAGAGTGAGAGTTGAAGTCATTGACATAATCCTCACTAAAATAGACGACTCTGGGGTTACGAACTGGAAAGTATCTGAGAAAGGCACCTTCTCGAACCATAGAACGATACTTTTACAGATTCCTACCTCTAGAGAAAAAGAAAAACCTTATAGGAATGCTCGGACGACAAATTGGAGATTTGGAGTAGTTTATATTTTTTGAGTAGTTTATATTTTGTTGTTATACCCTTCACCACACTGTGGTACAGGGTATTATGTTTTTGTGCATATGTTTGTAACAGGCAAAAGGAAACGAGATAGACACATGGTTCCTTTTCCAATATGCATAGAATCACTTTCTGAGTCGATTTACGCATGTCCGTCTGTGCGTCCGTCCATGTATTTTTGTGAATAAAGTACAGGTCGCATTTATGATCCGATTTGGATGAAATTTGGCATAGGTCACTTATTTGGCCCAAGGACGATCCCTATTGAAATTGGGAAAAATCGGTTCAGATTTAGATATAGCGCCCATATATATTTTCGTCCGATTTAATGTAAATGCTGCACCAAAGTCCCTATATATCTTTCGATTTGCACGAAATTTGGCACAGCGTAATGAATTAGGTCTAGAATGATGTGTCTTAAGTTTCCTGAAAATCGGTTCAGATATAGATATAGCTCCCATCAGCAACGTACACAGGATTTCATTTCGGGGGGGGGGCCCGGTAGTACAAAATGAAAAAAGTCGCTGTTGCAAACTTAAATTTACTGTGAAAAAAATTCATTTCGGGGGGGGGGGGGGGCGGGCCTCCAGGGCCCCCCCCTGCGTACGTCCCTGGCTCCCATATATTTTTTTGTCCGGTTTATATCTTTCGATTTACACGAAATTTGGCACAGCGTACTGAATAAAGACTAGAATGATGTGTGTTAAGTTTCGTGAAAATCGGTCCAGATTTAGATATAGCTCCCATATATATTTTCGTCCGATTTAATGTAAATGGTGTACCAAAGTCCCTATATACCTTTCGATTTGCACGAAATTTGTCATAGCGTACTGAATTGCGTCTAAAATAATGTGTGCTATGTTTCATGGAAATCGGTTCAGATTTAGATAAAACTCCCATTTATATATTTTCGCCCGATTTTAGGTAAGTGGTGCACCAAAGTCTCTGAAAATCATTCGATTTGCACGAAATTTAACATAGCGCACTTATTTAAGTCTAGAATGAAATGTGCTAAGTTTCGTGAAAATCGGTTCAGATTTTATGTAATTGGTGCACCAAAGTCCCTGTATATCATTCGATTTGCACGAATTTTGGTAAAGGGTACTGAATTAAGGCTAGAATGTTGTTGCTAAGCTTCGTGAAAAGATCCGTAGCTAGGCCGATTGGCACAACGTACTGAAGTAATATTAATTAGTCTCTGGCAAGTTTCCCTGAAATCGGTTCAGATATAGATATATAACAAACACGCGATGTTTGTTAGGATACATATGTAGAAAATAAACAAAGTGGTGAAGGGTATCATATAGTCGGGGCAGTCCGACTTTACTACTTTCCTTAATGTTTTTTTTTTAAGAAATTTTGAAAGAAGAGTAAGCCATGAATTCACCAACCGGTATACCTTATTTAAGAGGCCATGAATTCGATTTTGTTATTAGTTTTAAATCATTCGCCAATCAGCAAAGATGTCTTTTCTAAAGTACACCTATATCCAGCCAACCGGAGAAAAGGTCAATTCGTATTTGTCATTTGATAGACAACATAGAAAAAATTTCATACATATTCTAGCATCTTTTAATTATTTTATTTTTGACCAACATAAAGAACCCCGTTGTGAACTTCGTATCTATTAGTTGGGTAAGTTCTTCCAATTAATAAAAAATGCATTTTATTTACATTTACTTTAATGGTGATGTGTGAATTTTGACGTTAATTCGGGAGACAATATAATTTTACTAATTCTGTACCATATATGTCAAATTTCATGTTGTATATTATTTATGTTTATAAATTAATTTTTCATTTCTTTCATTTTAGATGAATTTGGTGATGAAATTGAAGTGATTAACCAAGAGGATTTCAACATCTTCTTAAGTAAATGTAGCGAACGTCTACATTTATTCGTGACCCCGAAAAATCCCCCTTCCGTTAAAAATGAGAACACAGAGCACTAAACAATATTAAATGGAAGGAAAATCAATATATGTAAATAAAAAAAAAAAATAAATATCTTAATGTAACAATATTGAATAATAAAAGCAATTTGAAAAAATTTAAACTTTTTCTTTAATTTTTATACCCTTCACCACACTGTGGTACAGGGTATTATGTCTTTGTGCATATGTTTGTAACAGGCAAAAATAATCGAGATAGACCCATGGTTCCTTTTGAGAATATGCATAGAATCACTTTCTGAGTCGATTTATGCATGTCCGTCCGTCCGTCCGTCTGTCCATGTTAAATTGTAAACGAAGTACAGGTCGCATTTATTATCCGATTTGGATGAAATTTGGCACAGCTTATTTGTTTGGCCCAAGGACGAACCCTATTGAAATTGGGAAAAATCGGTTCAGATTTAGATATATCTCCCATATATATATTTCCCGATTTACGGACTTTAGACCCTGAAAATCTTTCGATTTGCACGAAATTTGGCATAGCGTACTGAATTGAGCCACGAAAGATGTGTGCCAAGTTTCGTGAAAATCGGTTCAGATTTAGATATAGCTCCCATATATAGTTTCGCCCGATTTACGAACTTTAGACCCTGAAAATCTTTCGATTTGCACGAAATTTGGCATAGCGTACTGAATTGAGCCACGAAAGATGTGTGCCAAGTTTCGTGAAAATCGGTTCAGATTTATATATAGCTCCCATATATAGTTTCGCCCGATTTACGGACTTTAGACCCTGAAAATCTTTCGATTTGCACGAAATTTGGCATAGCGTACTGAATTGAGCCACGAAAGATGTGTGCCAAGTTTCGTGAAAATCGGTTCAGATTTAGATATAGCTCCCATATATAGTTTCGCCCGATTTTTGGTAAATGGCGTACCAAAGTCCCTATATATCTTTCGATTTGCACGAAATTTGGCATAGCGCACTGAAAAATCGGTTCAGATTTACATATAGCTCCCGTATATATCTTCCTCCGATTTAAGGTAAATGGTGTACCAAAGTCCTTATATATCTTTCGATTTGCACGAAATTTGGCATTGCGTACTGAATTAAGTCTAGAATGAGATGTGCAAAGTTTCGTGAAAATCGGTTCAGAATTAGATATAGCTCCCATATATAGTTTCGCCCGGTTTTAGGTAAATAGTCCACTAAAGTCGCTATATATCTTTTGATTTGCAAGAAATTTGGCATAGCGTACTGAATTAAGTCTTGAATGATGTGTGGAGAGTTTTTTGAAAATCGGTTCAGATTTAGATATAGCTCCTTTATATATATATATATATTATTTAAGGTAATTGGTACATCAAAGACCCCATATATCTTTCGATTTGCACGAAATTTAGCATAGCATACTGAATTACGTCTATAATAATAACAAGCTATGTCTTTTAAATACATATGTATATGTCTTTTGGATACATATAGTCGGCCCCGTCCGACTTTACTACTTTCCTTACTGGTTTAAAATGGAAATAAAATCAGACATCTCCACTCAAAATATATCTTTTCATTTTATATGCTTGCGATATAGCGCTTAAAACGTTTAACATTGTTCTCTCTATAATAACAATAGAGAACAAGTGAAAAAGGCATTAAGTTGAGCTGGGCCGAACTTTGGATACTCTCCCCCATAGGAATGCAGACAGTTACGTGAAATGAAAATATGGGGAACACACCAAAAAGTGGACCTATAACGACAATTCTACCAATCGATTGTTGCAAACCGTAATGTAGACCAATTACAAATTTCAGCAATTTTAATGGACGTTTTTTCCTAAAAACTCAAAACCCCAAAATTTGGACCTATATTATGAGCGCAAGGCAAACTGAAACATGTATATAATATCGTCATACCTAAAGCGGGACCAATATTGCCAACATTGTGTAAAAATTAACGAATATTTGGCGTTTTTATAATATGAAGGGTTATGCCTCATTAAGGACCCATAGCTCAATTTCGAAGCTAATATTAATACCCTTCACCACACTGTGGTACAGGGTATTATATCTTTGTGAATATGTTTGTTGCAGGCAAAAGAAAACGAGATAGACACATGGTTCCTTTTGAGAATATGCATAGAATCACTTTTTAAGTCGATTTATGCATGTCCGTCGGTCCGTCCGTCAATGTATTTTTGTTAACAAAGTACAGGTCGCATTTGTGATCCGATTTAGATGAAATTTGGCACAGTTCACTTATTTGGCCCAAGGACGAACCCTATCGGTTCAGATTTAGGTACATCTTCCATATATGGTTTCGTCCGATTTTAAGTAAATGGTGCCCCAAAGGCCCAAAGTTAGGCCGATTGTCACAAAATTTTGCACAACGTACTGAAGATACTACCAGTAAGGAAAGTAGTAAAGTCGGACTGGGCCGACTATATGATACCC